AAGTAAAATAAATAAAATGTTTACTTTAAGGGTAGAAATGTCAATTTAATATATTAGGGGGGAAAACCACCACTTTTAAAATAATTGAGGGGGCTAATGTGCTTACATAAATAATTGAGGGGAAAAAAGTGCTATAAGTATATAACATAGGGGGAAAAAGTGACATTTTCCCTAAAAAAAAAATAATAATAATACTTTAATTACTGTCATGCGCGACTCTCCGCAGCGACTGCACGCGCCCATTGGGCACAATGGTGACAGCAACGCATAGCTGTTATGGATGGACAAAATTAAAGATGGGTCCCACATTTCTGAATTCTCTCAACATTTATAGAAGCACCCCATTTTTCTCTTTCTTGCTTCTCTCTCTTCCACATGGCTTCATTTTCTGACATTATTCCCACATTATACATTGATGATAATGCTCTTAGTTATAGCAAACTCCAACCTATAACTTTTCGTTTTGAATGATAACAATGATGTCATTAAATCATAAGGTATTTGGTAAGAAAAAACAAATTACTTTCTGTATCTTAGTTATGGGTAAAGCATAGATTTAATCACTTAATTATTTTTTATGTAACTTTAATTCTTCATTTATATCAAAGTGACAGATTTTGTGTCCTATATTTATAGATGTCAGTCTATTTTTTGTCTTTTTTATAAAAAATATTTTTGTTTGGTTCTAATATTATTGTGACATGACAATTTTTTGTCCTTGTCAACAAAAGTGTTTAAATGTCATTAAATACAAGGACATTTTGGTCTATTTAGTTTTAAGTGTTAAAGTCATTTTTTTGTCTTAGATTTATATGTGTCATTCTACTTTTAGTCCATTTTTTTCAAAACATCATTGTTAGTCCTAATATTATTTTGGCATGACCATTTTTATCCACCGTCAACAAATATGTTTAAATGATATTAAAAATGACGTTATTGACCACTCAAAATCCTACTTTTTTCTTCTTGGTAATAAATCACAAGCCTTGTGAATTTTTATGAAGTAGACATATGCACTAGACTTAAGGTTTGTTATGAAGTAAACTTGTTGTGTTTTTCAATTGCATTTTTTTTTTTTTTTGCAATAGACTTATATATTGATAACAAGTTTATTACCAAGAAGAAAAAAGGAGGATTTTTTGTAGTTAATAACATCATTTGTAATGTTATTTAAACATATTTGTTGACAGATGACCCAAAACGATAATATCACAATAATGCTAGGATCAGCGATGATGTTTTGAAAAAAAAAATGATTAAAAGTGGAAAGACACATAAATTTAGGACCCAAAAAAATGAAAATTACTTAACACTTAGGGCATCCCCATTAGTGTTTTTGGGTGAATATTTTGAGGCAAAATAGGTGATGTGGAAGTGAGAGAAGGGAGAGAGAGAAAAGAAGAAATGCTTGCAGGAAACCCAAGGTTCTTGTCTCCTGCGCTGAGCCTCACAGCTTAATTAAAAAAACAAAAGAAGGCAGCTGGTGCGCGTTAGGCGCACTTGTAGTGCCCAGTTGGGTGCGTGTATTACACGCTCCAACTGGGCGCATAGAGGGTGGTCAACCACATTAAATATTTTTTTTTTCTTTTTTTTCCTTGTTTTATTTTCTCCCTATTTTCCTACGTGGCTCCTAAAATCTTGTGCACAAATAAAACTATTGGAGATGCCTTTAGAATTGAATATGCTAAAACATCCTTGCATTTAACGTTATTTAAACAATTTTGTTGTCAAAAGACCAAAAATGATCATATCATAATAACACTAGAACCAAATGAGATGTTTTAAAATAAATGACTAAAAGTGGACTAACACCTATAAATATAAGACCAAAAATTGAATTAACTCAAAGATAAATTACTACTTATTTTACTATCAATTACTCCATCTGACCCATTTTACCTTTCTCATTTACTATTCATCGGGTAAACCATTTTTTTTCCTTATTCTCTTTGGCATTTTTAAATTATCTTTGATTTTTTATTTTTTTTTGGTGTTTGATACTCTGTAGTACTTTTAATGTAGTTTCTAAATATATAAATTATAAGAAAATTGTAATTTATGTACATTCATAATATGTCAATTATCAATGTCACCCCTAAATTATTAGTAGTGTAAATGTTGCCCTTCAATTTTTAAAACGGTACACATGTTGCCCCTCCGTATAGTACGCTCAACGGGCACTTCACCAACCAGGAAAGACATGTCTGCTAATTTCGCAGGCACTTCACCAACAAGTTGCAGCCCTGAAAGATTGATTCGAGTCACCGACGATGTCAAGAGCCGCAAGTGATTCCAATCCAATCACACGGGGAGGTGCGGGTGGACCAATTGGTGGCCAAGGCTTTGAGAGGGTCGGAAGTGATGTGAGCTTTCAAAGAAAGAAGGAAAAGTTGATCGGTTGTAATATTGGTCATAGACGACAGGACCAAGCTGGACATTAGAGATTGGATCAACAAGGAGAGAGCAAAGGTTATGGAAAACAGAGATAATGTAGTTATCTCCATGATTAAGCTAAGGCTGGGAGGGAGGGATAGGCGGATAGCATGTTTTGTTTTTTTTGTGTTTTTTTTTTTTTTTTTTTTCAAGTTAATGACTCTATTACATTATAGTATTATTCATCTGTACTTTTTCAATCTGTTGAAGCACAAAGACTCACGATCTCATGATCTCTTATATGAAAAATTTATAAGTCATACGTGCCAACCTGAGTACTTATCTTTCTTTATTGTGAGTACGGTGTTTAGTTTCTATTTTTTAAAAAACATTTTTCTAAAAATATGAGAAACAATATTATTATTAATTTATTATTAAGCCACTCGTGCGATGCACGAACTAAACATTTGAAATTTAGAACTATGCTATGTTGTTAAAAACTAATAATGTTATTAACTTTTAAATATAAAAAAGAAATACCAAGATTATGTGGTTTAATGGTACTCGGGTTGAATTTCCGTTTGAAAGATGGTGGGTTCAAGCCTTAGTGGCTCTACTTTGTAATAGAGCCAGTAGCCCTGTTTATTCTATTATAAATTTTTATTATTTAATAATTATGTTGTTGTATAAACACATTGCAAAAAGTGGACGACAACACAGATGAGAGAGGTTGTGTGCATCGAAAAACTGTGATGTGTTCAGTCGTCGCCGGAAACGGACATTAGCAATGGTCGGAAACATTATTTGTGCAACAGCGATGAAGATTTTGTGCACCACAAAGATTGCTATTTCACACACCAACCTCACGATTGAGGAAGGTTTTTTCTTTCAAAAATATTAAATGTACTCCCAAAATTATACTTCGAATTTGTACTCCCACTTGTGTTCAAATTTGATTGAAAGAAATAAATAATAATAAACATCATGCCCCTACTAAGTTAAACAATTAAGACATGTAATGTTATAAGAAGTGCAAAATGGAAGTATAATTTGGGAGTACATGTAGAAGTATCCTTTTTCTTTTGTGTTTTTGTGGTTATTTGGATTACAATGTGGTCAACTGGTGCAGGGAACAAGGAACCATCAAAGATTCCCGAATTGTTATGCTTTGGAACCGTGTTCACCTTGTAAGGTGGACACGGTTCTATATTCATAATTACTGAACTCTATATTCATAATTATAAAATTTTATGTTTATAATTTTTTAATTTCATATTCACAATTATTGAATTCTATATTCACAATTACAGAACTCTATGTTCATAATTTTTGAACTTCATATTCACAATTATTAGACTATATTCACAATTACAGAACTCTATGTTCATAATTATAAAACTTTATGCTTATAATTTTTAACTCTATACTTACAATTATGAACAGTTTTGGAACCATGTCCACCTTGCAAAGTGGACACGGATCCACAGCATAATTTGCCAGAATTTGGCTTTGTTGACAAGGAGGCAAGGAAATTATTAGATGGGCTTGAACTTGGGTCTAAAGCATGATCTGACTAAATAAAAATAACTAATTGGGCTTAAGGTAGTGGCAGACACCATAAACTAAAATAATAATAATAATAATAATAATAATAATAATAATAATAATACTAAAATCTTCCTTGAATTGTAGGCACTTGTATTGAGTAATATAATTGACCTGTAAATTTAAAGTTGCTTCATACTCAAAAGTTAAAGATTCAATCATTGACCTTTGGTTAATGATGAATGAGTCACTTCCATTCAATAACTCCTCAGATTAATGTCAACATTTTAGCAAATGGAAAAGGTAGCTAGCTAGGATAAACTTTTTTTTTTTGAATGCTACTAGCTCTATTACATAATAGTATCTGTTCATATACCTTCTCAACCTACTAATAACACCTCCACTGAGGCTCGAACTCACAACCTTCTAAATAGAAGTCCAACCCGGATACCATTAGACCACATAGTCCTGGTAGCTAGGATAAACTATTATATTTATTATTGATCATCTCTCAATTTAGAAAACAAAAAAATCTGTGACACATGCTAGTTTGTTGGAGAGCGCTCTACATAAATTCAGAAATATCCGATCTCTGATCTTCTACCATAAGTGATTCTCAAACAGTTTACTATCAATAATATATGCCAAACGTTTATTCAAATAGAATTTGATTCCTTTAAGATATGAAGATAAGGCATAAAGAATCCAATTATAGAGCATGAAATGCCAAGCCGAACATACAGGACCAAAGCTCCAAACGTGCATCTTAGTATCTTACTCCATATTGTGTTAATCCGAATGATTTTTACGTGTAACTACTAACTAATACGACCTCATATAATTCAATAGGGTAACTCAAGTGACAAATGAGCTCTTCCGAGTTCGATTCTCACAAGTGACGATTCCCCTTCTGAACTGTTAAGCGGCCCGAGTATGAGTGCCTAGCAGGAAAAGAGTCATTCAAGCTACACGTACTGTAATTAACAGTTATTTATCAATATAGTTCAACAAGCACCCCTTAGCTTGTCTATAAAAGGAGAAACTTCATCTCTTAATAAGCAGCACTGCAGCAGCATCAGAAAACAAAAAACATAAGAGAAAACAATACATACCCTTAGTAGCTAATAGAGAAAAACTGAGCTTTGATTTCCTTTTGATCAATCATCAATGGATTGGTCGTATGGTTTTGCTTGTAAAGGGAGCAACAAAAAGGTGACGGACGAGGAGTACAACGACTGTGATGAGAAGGGAAAGCCAACCGAGGATGGATATGGCTATCCTTACGAAGATGGAGTGATGAGCAAGCCATACCCAGCAGCAGTGGTTGTTGATGGTGGGCAGAGGAAAAACTCCATCACACACTACCCAAACGTAGATGGCTCAGACAGCTACGTTGTGAGGACCGAAAGGGTGGTTAAGGTTGTTCGCCCTGTGATGACTACTCATTATAGTCTCAAGGAGGACCATCATAATCTTGGGATGGCTAAAAACTTCCTTGACCAGTTTCTCAAGGAAGCAGCCATGTCTGGTTCTCCTCGTACCTACTGGGGCTGCAAGCCAGCTTGGGCCGGCAGAGATGACTCTCCACCCAAGTATGATGAGTATTCTCAGTTTAGTTCTCCCAACTTGGGTACTGTGGCAAAGTTTCCTAGTTGGGAAGACACTGAGCATCAAGAGTTGGGACATCCTACCACCGGTTCTAGAGGTAAGTGGTCAAGTCGAGATGAATCTCCACCTAGATTTGTTACACACCCTCAGTGGAACCATTCTAATCACTCGGGTGGTAGACATAATTGGTCAAGTCGAGATGACTCTCCGCCTAGATCCATGATGCATCCTGAGTTGAACCATACTAACTCAAGTAGTGCTAGACCAAATTGGCCTAGTCGTGACAACTCTTTCCCTAGACCTTTGGTTCGTCATCAGTTGAGTCAATCCAACCCCGGTTCTACACCAAATTGGGCAAGGCAATTTGACTCTCCACCTAGATCACTGGAGTATTTTGAAGTGGGTCATTCTAATTCAAGTGCTAGACCAAATTGGTCAAGCAGCTATAATTCTCCTCCTCGATCCTCAAGGCGTTTTGTTTCAAATCATCCAAACTCAAGCGCTAGATCAAATTGGCAAACTCGAGATGACTCCCCATCTAGGTTCATGACACATCCTGAGTCGAGTTATTATTCTAACTCAAGCACAAGACCAAATTGGCCAAGCCAATATGACTCTACACCGAAATCTATGTATTTTGAGTCAAGTCATCCTAACTCGGGTGTTAGACCAAACTGGTCAAGTAGAGATGACTCTCCATCTAGACCTACGGAGTATCCCTTGTTGAGCAATCACAATACTAGTACTAAGCCAAATAGACCAAGTCAAGTTGAATCTCCACCTAGATCCATGACACATTTGAACCATCTAAACTCACCAAGTACAAAGCTTAGTTGGCCAAGTCAAGAGGATTCTCCTTCTCCCGACAACATTGAGAATGGGAGGGACAAGATAAACACCGGTTTGGTGCTCAACAAGTTTGACGAATTAAACCTCCAAGACAGTCGAGGAACAAGCCCACTCCCCAATGAAAGGTCCGGTTCTGATGTAGTATCCAAGACAGCAAGCATGGATAGTGGTCAAAGGCCTAACTGGCCCAACAGGAAAGGGCATGTCCATAATAGCGGAATTAGCCCTTACAAAACCAACAAAGACGACCACGAGAAACCCAAATTCAATGGAGCACAAAGCAAAAACACCCATGACGAGGAAATCCCAGACACCAATAACAAGAAAATTGGTTACAAGATGCCATATACTGACTGGCCGGTTGAAGACGAAGACGAAGATGATGATTCCAAGAAGAGTGGCATATTATTAGGATCAAACGTGAGGCAGAAAGGCAGTAAAACAAAACCAAATTACAGCAGTGGATCGTACAAGCAAGCAGCAGTTAGCAGCACAAGAAATGATGATGAGGTGAGTGATATGATGAAGCTGGTGGAGGAAGCTAAAAAGACAGCGACTTATGACCCAAATGAGATCACCCTTAATATTAATCCTCCTCAACAAGTGCACTACAGCACATATGCTTTGCCAGCAGCTCCATGGGGTTATTATAAACCAGTGGTACTTGACAGCAATGAGGCATCCAGGAAGTATAATGGCATCGCCCGCCATACATAATGCTTACCAAACCAAACTAACCTAAGTTCTTCATTTCAAACTGACACCAATAGATGTGTTTGTGTTTTAGTACCAACATACTCTCCTAGCTAGCTAGCTTTCCTATGATGTAAATTAAAACTCTTTCGAAATGTAATTTGGGTCTGTGTGCCAATGTCTTTACCTTAGGTCTCTGTGCCGTTCTTCTTGCATGCATATACTTATTTTTTGGCCTGTGTTTAAAGTTCTTAACTTTATGTTTTTTATTATTCTTTTTTCAGTCTTTAATGGCTTGTGTTTAAAGTTCTTAACTTTATGTAGCTTGCTTGACTTGTATATGAGAAGGAAATGGGTTCCTAGTTATCCTGCCAATATAATGCATTTTTCTTTCTATCTTTTGAAGTGTGGCTGTCAAGTATCAGGATTGATCTGTGTTCCTCTTTGATGGTCTGTGGGTGAATTTCGTAACTTCAATTCATTTGCATTCTTTAAAAGAAAAACATTGGTGCTATAATGTTTGACATAACCACTTCAGCAAATTAAAGTTATATTATATTAATTTTTTTATTGGGTTGATAGTATAATTCTTACAAGATTTGTTCTTAAATTGCCAATTTTTATGTTTTATATATGACAATTATAGCTAACCCAGAATCCACTTTGCATCTTTAATTTGGAGATAAATCTTAGCTTGTGTGAGATGCACAGAATTTGAACAAAGTTCACATATGGTGATACTGGCGATGCCAATAATAACAATGTTCATTTGCCTTGTCCAGGATAATTGCGTAATTGGCAACAACCTCCTTAGCTTCTGCAGTTATCAATTATAATGATTTGAAGAAAAGTAACTGTAGATTTAGACTGTAAATATTCCTTCAATTGCAAGCTTATGTAGCAAATTTGGAACTTTTTTTTTTTTTTTTTTTTTCCTTTCAAAAGCCAAGTAAACATTTCAATAGTTATTGAAGATCTTTTATGATGATGAAACTCTTCATTTTGATGGTCTTATTAGTTTAGTTTACTAACTAGTAATTCACCCGCGCGATGCACGGAAAAAAAATTATGTTATTATAAATATAAATAAAAAATAGAAAAACTAAAATATTTTAAATTATTTAATATAATAATATTTTTGAGCTTCCATTGGTCAAGTATTTATTATTTTTATAGAATACAAAATTACAATTAAAATTAAATTAAAATTTTGTATAGTTAATATAATCTCTAATTATGTGCATATTCAAATAAACTTATAGAGATAATTTACATAATTACATTGATTTATTCTTAATTGCATTTCATCTATATTATAATTTTCATAATACAAATAATAACTAAGATAATTACATTTGGAAAGCAAATTTTAAATTTTGTATGTGTAAATTTAAACTCTAATTGAACATATTTTTTATATGATTATATAATATATAGCTATTTTATTTTTCAAAAGTATATTTTTTATATGATTATATAATATATAGCTATTTTATTTTTTAAATGTTGTGCTTTTTTTTTTTATAATAAAAGATGTTGTGGCATTAATTATAACATTAATTATTTCCCCAACCATATAGCTTTATTATATAAAAGATAATAAAAGCGTTTTGATAGTCTTATTAGTTTACCATAACTTTGGATTGGATGAAGAATAATAAAGGTACTATTGATTCTCTCTCTTTCTCCCCTTATACTTCATTATATATAATATTTTACTGTTGTTGATTGCATTGGGCCGGGAAAGAACGTATGATACTACCATTTAGACAGGGAACATCATGATTTACAACACGTTATCATGATTGCAGTAGGTGTTAGGTGCTAGTCGGCTGTCCGGGCAGTGCCTAGCACCTAGGCGCCGCTCAGGTGGAATCTAGGTGGGGCCAAAAAAAATAAAATAAATAGTGGTAGATTTGCCGTTTGACAATTTTAATGAGTTTGTTTTCAACATTCAATCAAATAATACAGTCAAATAAATGAAATAATGATAATTTATAAGTCATAACATCATAATAATATTAAAATTAATAATTAATGAAAGACAACATCAGACAAAATCGGATGAAATTGATCAAAATCGGACAAAATCGGTCAAAATTGGATGACTCAGTCGAGTTGGCCGACTCGACCGATTTTGACCGCCTAGGCGGCCGGCCGAAGAATGGCCGCCTACAATCAAAACCGGCAAGGCTTGGTGCCGCCTAGCGCCTAGGCGGCCGAGTTTTGCAACCATGCACGTTATTATCACGGGTGCGGTGTTTTATATCCTCGGTGAACGAAATATTGTAAATATTTCCTTGAAATCAACCCATGGGAGACGAGAATATATTGCGTTTGGCACAGACCTTGGAATAATGTAAATGGGCTACATGAGTTCTAAATAAATAAAGAGAATAAAATGGGGTACATGATTTCTAAATAAATAAATTAGGCACAAGTGTCGCAACTACACAAACCCAACCACAGGTGGGTGTAATACCACTGCTAACTAGATGTCTAGATGGCATGCAAGGGTCAATGACACACTACACCGTTGGCTGAGAGGTAAGTCAAGAGGAAAAGAAGAGAGCTAATGATGGTCTGAACTAGACATCTCTCCTCCTCTCTTTTATATGTACAATTCACAGGGCCGCATGTCGTGGACCATAGCCATCCGCCTCCCCATCCTGCCACATGCCAAGTTTTCCCACCAAACCATTCTTCGCACACCACGTCGCCAGGCATGTTCAATTCAAGGTCCTCGCCAACAGCCCCCGTAGACCTCCCCACCTACGCACCCCTACCCTTTACGCCCTACGTCGTCCCCCACCCCTCTGTATGTCGTACTCCCCTTATGCCAGTCAACCACCCTGGGCGGTTCACCATGACCGATCGAATGAGCCAGAGCTATCCGGCCATCGGTGGATGGCCCGAGCGAAGGGTGAAAATGTGACACCCCGAAATTCAAATTCGGTTAAGGGATTAATTAAGTAATTAATCCTATTTTAATTTGTAATTTAATTTCTGAAATTTAATAGTCGGGGACTAGTAATTGACTAGTCAACCCCAAAGTTCAAGTTGTACCTTGAGCTTTCTAAGGAGTTCCCTTGTTCCTTACACCTTTCTATGTTAGTAAGGGTATTCTTGACCTTTCACCTTGTGTTAGTATTGTAACCTAACCTAGTAAGAACATCCTCATTTCTATTCTTACACTTTCCAAAATCCTAGCTCCATCTTCTCTCTAAAGAGGTGGATAGCTTTTCTTCCAAACCAAGTTGAAGCTTTGCCAAGACTTCAAGAGTTGTCTCCAAGATTCTACCGTTCATACTTTGGGCATCTAGGAGGGTAAGATCCATGTTCACCTTGTGTTTTTAGTGTTCTCTTAGGTGTCTTTTCTTAAAGATAGAATCTTTATGATCTTTTGGTATGTTCTTGAAGTGGGTTTGGAATGTGAGCTTTGATAGGAGCTTGGTGTAGTGTTAAGTGAAGGTTTTTGGTCTACAAGAGGTAACACATGCTCTACAAAATTTATTTTGCTTACCTATATGAATATTTCTTGAATTCTACATGTGTTTTGCTATGAAATGTGAGTGTTTATGCATTGTCTTGTGAAAATGCATATCTAGAGCTTGTGTTTAGGGTTCTTGTATGCCATTGCTTGGCTATTCCTTTGATTCAAATCATTTTGTTGTATTTGGTGAGATTTGGCATGTTTTGGGCTTGAATTTAAGTTTGGAGATGAAAATTCCCGAAGGGATTATTTTGGTACAGGTGTGTACCCGCGGGCGGAACGGCGGGTAGGAGGCCCACCCGTCGCCCACCTGCGGGGTACAGGTTGCCAGTGGGTTATGTACCTGCGGGTAGGGGCCTACCCGTGGGTCCACCAGCGGGGAACGTTGTGTGGATGTTGGGGGATTTGTTCCCCGTGATTCTTTTGACTCGATATTTGATCTTTTGACTTCCTGATGTTCTTTTGTGGAACTATTTGAGCGTCTTCTTGATGTTTCGTATGTCTAGAACTATATGGTAGGAATCCATGTATGTTTTGGTGTCTTGAATCGTGCTAAGTGTTCAACATTGTGTTTCGTTGAGCCGTGATGAGTCTTGTGTGTTCTTCGGAACTACGTTTGGTTTACCCGTTTGTTAAGCATGCTAGTTTGGTGTTTTAAATGCTAGCGTGTGTGTTGTTTGTACCTTCTTATTGGTTGATGATAACTTGCGTTATTCATCGTTGTTGTTGTGGACTGTGATCCATTCCTTGATTGAGTATGGTTTCATATCTTCGTTGTGATCTGTTGATTGATTCCTATTGTGGTGTGATGTGTGTGTGGCTTTACCTGGATTGCACGATTAGTGGTATGAGACACTAGTCACCAAGGTACTGCAGTGGTCCTCGTGGTGGCCATGACGTGATTATGGAGTTGTGACCTTTGTGTAAGGTTCACGTATTTCTTGGGTGGCATGTGTTGCCGTGTGTGTGATGGTACCCTCGCGTACTATGAAATCGGTGGTTCTGTTGGAGATCTGTTGGAGAGGGGATGACGGTCCTCGGAGGGAAAAGATTGGACTTGGTGTGCAGGGGTCCTGGAGGTAAAGGTTGGAACTAGACATAAGGTTGGGGGTAGCCATAAGGTTGGAACCGGGCATAAGGAAGGCATATCAACTCGTGATGGGTGATGTCACGAGGGCTTGTGTAGCCGTTGTTGTGAGTTCTCTTTTTGTGACGTGTGTAGTCACAAAGGCATGTGTTGCTGTTTGTTGTGTCTTTATTCCCTTGAGTTATGCATGTCGGGTATTAATCTATTGTGTGACGATAGATTATGCCTTGAGACTTCTTGTGAGTCGTTGTTGTTCTTTGTAGTCTTGGGATGTGTTCCCGTGTTCTTGTTGAGAGTGTTTGAGTCTTGTGTTGACTATTACTCTTGGTTTTGGACTTATATATATGTATTCCGTTTCGAAAATGGCTTTACAAACTTATATCTTACCTATGTATGATATTTCACATGTATTGGTGGGTTACCAGCATTATTCGCTGACCGGGCGTCGTCCCATGTTTTATATGCTTCTTTCAGGTGATGCTTAGACGAGTGCGCGGTTTAGTGCCAGCTATTATAGTTTCTCTTTTATGCTTTGTGGCCTGTGAGCCAATTTAGACTAGTACTCTGTTGGATGGTTGTAGATTTTAAACAATGCAGATTTAGCCTGTGCG